CTGCACTGTCCAAAGAGGAGGAATATTATATCCTCACATGGCAGAAGGTGGAAGGGCAAACGGGACAAATTCCCTTGTCATGCCATTTTATACAGGCACCTAATCCCATTTATGAGGGCAGAACCCTCATGAGTAATTTAATTCCCAAAGGCCACACTTTCCAATACTGTTGCATTGGAAACATCTGAATTCTGGAGAGGAACATATTCAAACGATAGCATTCTGCCCCTGCCCCCCTCACCCAAATGTATGTCACATAAAAATATTTCATGTCAATAGCCCCCAAAATCTGAACTCATTCCAGCACCAACTTTATAAAGTATAAAGTTAAGAGATATGGGAACCAATGCATGGTTCATCCTGAGACAAATTCCTCCCCAGCTGTAAACCTATGAAATCAAACAAGTTATGTGCTTCCAAAACACAATAGTGTACAGGCATAGGATAGACACTGCTATTCCAAAAGGGAGAAATAGGAAAGAAGAAAGGGGTAACAGGTCCTCAGTAAGTCTAAAACCCAACAGGACAACCCTGCCTGGTTGCTTTGCTAGGAGCAGTTCCCACTTCAATTCTCACTGGTGAGGGTCACTACACACCTCCCAATACTCTTGCATTGAGAGCATCTGAATTTTGGCGGGGAAACATTCAAATGACAGCAGTGTCCCCCTAAATTACTGTTGGAACCTAATACCAAATGTGATAGTATTAAGAGGCAGGGCCCTTGAGAAGTGATTAAATCATGAGGGCTCCATCCTCATGAATGGGATTAGTGCCCTCATAAAAGACTCCGGAGAGCTCTCTTGTCCTCCTACTGTAAGGATGTGACAAGAAGGTGACATCTTTGAAGCAGAGAGCAGTCCTTCATTAGATACCAAATCTACTGGTGCCTTGATTTTAGACTGCCCAGCCTCCAGAAATGTGAGCAATAAATTTCTATTGTTTATGAATTATCCAATCTAAGGTATTTTGTTATAGGAGCCAAAATAGGCTAAGACACATGCCTTAAGCAGTGAGAAACTTAAAGGATGAACGTAAAAAGACGATATAAGAATAAAAAGATTACAAGGAAAATACAAACAATAGAAAAGGTGATGCAACAATATTGATATGAGACAAAATAAAAAAGGCCAAAAGCACTAAAAAGAGCTATTTCATCATGATAAAAAAAGATTCAATTAGTACCTTTATGAGCACGCAGAGACAGAGAACTTCATACACTCCAAAATGGTATTAATTGTGGAAAATTTTGATATATTTATTAAAAATTGATATATTCAGCAGATAAAAATTAAGTAATAATATAACTACTTGAATAAAATTAGATCAACAAGTTTGATTAATAGAGAACCTTGCACACAACAAGTGGAGAATATACGTTATTTTCAATACGTGTGAAACATTTTTTTTTTTTAAAAAAAGGGCCAGGGCTGGGCATGGTGAGTTACACCTGTAATCCCAGCACCCTGAGAGGCTGAGGTGGGTAGATTACTTGAGGTCAGGAGTTTGAGATCAACTTGGGCAATATGGCAAAAACCCATCTCCACAAAAAGTAAAAATTAGCCTTGGTGGTGTGTGCCTATAGTTCTATCTGCCTGGGAGGCTGAGGTGGAAGGATCATCTGAGCAGGGGAGGTTAAGGCTTCAGTGAGATGTGATCAAGTCACTGCACTCCAGCCTGGGCAACAGAGAAAGACACTGTCAAAAAAAAAAAAAAAAGAAAGAAAGAAAGAAAGAAAGAAAAAAGAAAAATCACATACTAGATCACACGAAAATTACAACAATTTCCAAGATTTAATATAATCTCTGTCTACAAAGCATATAAATTACAAACAACACTAAAAAGATGGTTAACAAAAAAAAAAAAAGCAACCTTTAATTGGAAACAAAAAATGCACTAAAAATAGCTCATTGGTTAAAGAGGAAATTACAATGTCATGAAATATTTAAAAGTAAAGACAAAAGTACCACATGACAAAACTTGTCGGATGGAGCAAAATCCTATAGAAAGGTAAGTACAGCCTTAAATATAATTATTTTATTTATTTATTTATTTTTGAGATGGAGTCTTACTCTGTTGCCCAGGCTGGAGTACAATGGCGCAATCTCGGCTCACTGCAACCTCCGCCTCCCAGGTTCAAGCGATTCTCCTGCCTCAGTCTCCTGAGTAGCTGGGACTATAGGCCTGTGCCACCACGTCCCGCTAATTTTTTATTTTTAATAGAGATGGAGTTTCACCATGTTTGCCAGGCTGGACTTGAACCCCTAACCTCAGGTGATCCACCTGCCTTGGCCTCTCAAAGTGGTAGGATCACAGGCGTGAGCCACTGCGCCCAGCCCCATATAATTATTCTTAAAAAAAAGAAACATTAGAAGCAAAGAAGCTACACTTTCAAGTCATGTGGCTAGTGAAAGAATTACAGAGTAACAAAAGTAAAAAAAAAAGGAAAGAATTCATATAATCTATGAAACAAAAAAGAAATAAAAAAATTCACAAAACTAATTCTTTAAAAAAATAATAAAGTAGACAAACCTCTGGCAAGACTGATAAGATTGGAACAACAAAGATGAACACTATTCAGAATGAAAAATGGGACCTAAACACAGTTAGACCCTTATTTTTAAAAACTCCAAGAGAACAATGTCAACAAGTTTATTCCAAAAACAATTTCTAAACTAGATAAAAAAGAATAATTTCTAGAAAAAAAGCGGTTCAAGAAGCAATGCAAAGCCATACAAATATATCTGGTTATACACATCTATCTTGACCTGTATCTATACATCTATAATAAACAGGCTCCCCCTGCAAAACAAGTTAAGTCTAGATGATTGCCGGAGAGTTTTACCAAACACTCACACTCATGTTATGAAAGCGCTATAAAATCTTACTGCCAAATCCAGACATGAGCATCAGGAAGAAAAGAAAATTATAGGCCTACTTCGCTAGTCACAGATGTAAAGTCCCTAGACAAAACACTAGCAAATTAAATTTGGCAATAAATAGCAATATCATGAGCAAGTATTAATAGGATTTATTCCAGTAAAGTTCAATATCAAAAAAACTATTACCATAATGTACCCGATTATCAGATTCGAGAAGAAAAACAATAGGATCATGTCAATAAATGCAAAAAGCACTTGTCAAACTTCAGCATTTATTAACAATGAAGATTCGTAGGAAACAGCCAAAGAAGGAAACTTTTTAACTATTAGTAGTACCTACACAGAAAACGTTTCCTTGAGAAAAAAATCTTAGAGTTTATAGTTTACAGTTTCCAACCCACTGATAAATTCAGTTACAGTGAGCATTCATTTAATTGCTAAAATAAGAAAGCAGTTGACCAGTAAAGCCTAGCTACCAATACGCTGCAACAGACATCACAATTAACGGAAAATTTTGGAAGCATAAGAAGGATGCTGGCAGGTCAAGGACATTAGTTGGTCGCCATTTCTATTCAATGTTAAACTAGGAGTCATGGTCTAGACAATGGAATACTATGCAGCTGTTAAAAAAGACAACACATAATAAACAAAAAAGAAAATGAGGTTAGGGAGTGTGGGCATGAGGGGACTAACGCGTCCCCCATGAGGGGACACCAGCGTCCCTTGGCCCTGCCACCCTTTTTTTTTTTTTTAAATAGAACCACGCTGTCACTGAGGCTAGAGAGTAGTGGTGTGATTTTGGCTCACTGCAGCCTCTTCCTGCCACCCTTTTTTTTTTTTTTTAACTTCCACCTGACAAACTGCCATTTATCCTTTAAATACCTTGGCAGGCATCACCTGCTGCCCCACAGATGAATCCTTCGTCTTTTGCACTTCCTTTGTACCTCGTGCGTACTTCTATAAGCAAATGTATCCGGCGGTTTTACAAGAATTTGCTTACCTACCAGTGTACTTAACCCATGGCTAGCACAGAGTAGGACTGGAAAGAAATGCTGCACAGACAGCACTTTTCCCTGAAGGCTCTAGGGCTCCCTGAGCCTCTGCATTAAACTGGTTTGGGCAAAAGGACAGGCATCGCTGAGAGCCGCAAGGCCGCCGGCCAGCTGCGGGGTCCCCTGTAGGCAGAGCCCTGAGTCACACGCGGACGCGGTCCGGGGGTTTCTTCTCAGGCCCTCAGCCCGGCCCACTTCCTCTTTCCTCACTTTAGAGGGAATACAGCGATCCCTCTCAAAACAAAACACACACCAAAACACCATTTTTTTTTTTTTTTTTTT